CACCAGACTCCACCAGACTCCACCAGACTCCACCAAACTCCATCAGACTCCACCAGACTCCAACAGACTCCAGCAGACTCCATCAGACTCCACCAGACTCCACCAGACTTCACCAGACCCCACCAGACTTCACCAGACTCCATCAGACTCCACCAGACTTCACCAGACTTCAGCAGACTCCACCAGACTCCAGCAGACTCCACCAGACTCCAGCAGACTCCACCAGACTCCACCAGACTCCACCAGACTTTACCAGACTCCAGCAGACTCCAGCGGAATCCACCAGACACCACCAGACTCCAGCAGACTCCACCAGACTTCACCAGATTCCACCAGACTCCACCAGACTCCACCAGACTTCACCAGACTCCACCAGATTTCACCAGACTCCACCAGACTTCACCAGACTCCACCTACTCACCCTGCGCGCCTCCTGCTGGTACTTGGCCGCCTTCTTGGTGTCGGCCACCGCTCTCTCCACAAAGCCCACCGACTGGTCCATGTTGCTCTCAATCCGGTCAATCATGCCACCCTGACAGCATGGAGAGAGCAGGAGAAACCTCAGACCGGATGCTCCTTTTAGGCTAATTTCACCCCTAAAACAGCTCCACATCTTTTTAAAACATCAACAATCATCCTTTGTTTGGTATTTTTGGGGGGCTCGGTCCTCAGAAATGTGTCCATGTGCTCTTTGTGTGTTCTGAACAGAGGAAGCTTTTTCATTTGATCCAAGATCAGAAGATCTCGGATCCAGAGACGAGGCTCCTAAGTCCGCGTACCTGGTTCTCCACCAGCATGGCGATGTCCACAAACATGTCGTGGAGCTCTTTGACGCTGCTCTCCAGCCTCATGATGTCTTTGTGCCGCGCCTCTATCTCGTTGAGGGCCTGCTGGTTGATCTTGGACTCCGTGATCTGAGGGTAGGAGCAGAGGCACGACTGGGTGTCTGATGTTTTCTGGGATTGTGTTTTTGATCTTTTTGATCTTTTTTATGAGTCTGCTGTCCAAAATCAAAAGCCTTAAAAAGAACAGTTATTTATCCTGCCATCAGTTATTAGAACAATTTCCAAATACACATGAACTGAATAGTAAAGTATCTTTTTATTATTACTTGAAAATGCACTATTTTATTTAAGAGTAGTGAATTAACATATTTACAGTATAAAAGTGCGAATCAATGTAACAGATATTCATGTAATAACTTATTTGGAATGATTTCTGATGACATCTATAATAATGCCTACAATGTTTAAATGTTAAGTGATTTTTGTTAAGTCTTTTGGACCCCAGGATGACTACCCCCACCTTTGGTGACAGCTAATAGGGATCTTTTTAACAATATTAATAATAATAACAACGACTTGACCAGCTCGGCTTTCTGCAGCTTTTTAATAGACAAAGGCCTAAAAATAATCTGTTTTCCCTGGACTTCCATGGAGTTCAACCCATGTACTGGGTACTCTCTCTTTCCAGGTTTCCAACATCCAGGGACGGAGGCTGACACACAGAGTGGTCTCTGGGGATTAAGGCCCTCCACTCTTTCCCTCACGGGTCTGAAGCTTCGGTTCCGGAGCAAAGATTCACAGAAAAAAGAAGCAACGGTGGCCTCACCCCGGCCGAGAACACGGCGGAGTTTCCTCCCTCCAGCATCTCCTCCAGCTCCTCATCAGTCATGGCTTTTCCCGCTGGAGAAACAAGCACACACAGCGTGTTTCAACAGCCCCTTGTACGAATCCCCCCCCCCCCCCCGGGCCCATTTCCAATCCAAAAGAGACACTCACTGATCTCCAGCTGGCGGGCGATCCGTCCTTTGCTCTTGTCTCTGAAGTCCATCTGGGCCTCGTTGTATTTGGTCATGACCTCCACAAACTTCTTGGCCAGAATGGCTTGCTGTGGGGAGACGGACGGAGAGTCGGACGCTCATTTACGGGACGTTTCAGGGAGCTCTAACAGGGTCGATCGGCATTTGGTTTGCAGGGTTCAAAAGATCTCTTTAAAACTCTAAACTGGAGGTCTTCAACAGGGTACTGCATGGGGGTCACGAAAGTTTTGGTGGATTGGACTTTTTTTAAATATTATCCATCTGCAATTTTTTCCACTAATGTAAATGCCTTTAAATAGACATTAACATGAATTCAACAGACTGTAGTAAACAGATAAATGGAGGTAGAACGCTCACATTCAGACACAAACAGGAGCTCTTTCAAGCTGGGCACCGTTTCGTTCACAACACCTGTCCCACCAACCAGGAACCAGAACCAGATGTTTACAATAAAAACAGGAAGATATAAACCTGTGGATTATTTGAGGATCTTAGTATTGAATGCCCAATAACAAGGTACATTTACACTATAGGACCAGTTTGGTATAACACAATTTCATACAAAATATATAATTAGGGGGTCTCCGCTCCATCAATTTGGGGGTCCTTGGCCTGGTAAACTTTGAAGACCCCTGATCTAAACAGAAACAGGATGGGAACGTTTCCACTTTGTGACAGCAGAGCAAAGGGTTTTTTTTTGTTTTCCTGATTGACTGTGCACCTTATAACATTATAATCATGTTATTATCAGGTTTATATTGTATATACTTCATATTCTCTATTCACACTTCCCTATTTTGCACTATTTTTGGTGGCTCTAATCTAGTTATACTCTGTGTAATGACAATAAAAGCCTTCTGATTCTGAGTCTGAGTCTCAGACTCAGAGTCTTTTGGTTTATCTAATCTAGTTATACTCTGTATAATGATATAAAAAGGCCTCTGACTCTGAGTCTGAGTCTTTTGGCCAGCAGTGGAAATCCGAGGCCCCGCCTCCTGACCTGTGACTTGCGTATCCTGACGTCGGCCGAGGCCCGTTCATCTGTGTTTGACTCCAGCTGCCGTTCAATACCTGACGATCACACACAAAAGCAGGCATGAGTGTGTTGGTATGTGTGTCCATCCTTCAAAAGCCCAGTGAGCCAAAGCCGTAAAAACCGATACTGACTTTTGAGCTTGTTTCTGGCATTGTTGGCCGACTTCTTTATCTCGTTGGTGAGCGCCTCGACGTCGTCCTGTGTTTCTGAAACAGATAAAAGACACTTTCAGAGCTCCGGCAAAGCCACAGCGAAGGTGTGTGTGTGTTTGCCGTTAGGCGGGCTTTTTACTCTGGTCAGGCGTGGGGGCCGACAAGATGGCGGAGTACAGTTTCTTAATTTCTGTGACACTCTCGTCAATCTTGTCGATGCTGGTGCGTATGTCCTCGATCTGAAACACCCCCCCACACACAAACAGAGTCAGAAAGAAGCGTCCTCTTCCTAAAAGGAGCAGTGAGAGAAACCGGAAGAGACCTGAGTGAAGAAGTCGTCCATGAAAGCTTCATTCTCCACCGGAACCACGATGTCATCTCCACCCGTATCGCTCTTCTGTTCAAAATCAAACAAACCCCCCCCGGTCAGAGGCAACAAACCAGCCAGAAAGAATGCCATAAATTACATTTGAGATGATTTAATTACATAAATTACATTGGCAATCATTAATCATTACTAATAATGTCATAATGTAGTAACTTGTAGTAATGGTAATTATTGCCATTAATAATGGTGAATATGAATCATTACTCATAATGTAATAACTAATAATAATTGAATAATCTAACGTAATAATAATTTAAGAATGTCACGTAATAATAATGTAATAATGCTAATTATTGTAATGAGATCAATAAATTATATCAAGAGCCAGAGTTACAACGGTGTTTAAAAACTGGCCCTGAAAGCATCCCCCATGTCCCCCCGTTTGACCCCCCCTGTCCCCCCCATGCTCCTTCTGACCCACCTCCTTCAGCTGTGCCAGTCGGTCCTTCATTTCGAAATCCTGGGTGAAAGTGACAAAGCAAAGAACTGGAGATAAAAGTTAGTGAACCAGGCGGCAGCACCGTGCTTCCCCCAGCCCGCACAGCCTCCAAAATGGCCTCCGAACGAGCTACCAGGAGATGATTAGCTCCCTCTGATGACCTGCCGAGTGGCCTGTTGGGGGGGGCAGGTCCTCAGAGCCGGACAGAGATCTGGACACGCACAGGTGGAGCTCCGAGAAAAACAATTCAACACTTCATGAAATAAAAAAAAAACCTGGATATTCAGATGGTTCCCCTTCGGAGAAAAAGTGTGGTCAACCAACCCCGACTACCAACTAAGCCTCTATCCTCTCAGAAGGGATTAGGGCAGCCGTGGACAGGAAGATAAACCTGCCCCCGCCCCGTCCCCCCCCCTCCCACCTCCGGCCGAAGACACGGCAGATTTGACCACACGTCTGACAGAGGCCAATCAAATCCCGACATACACCTGGAGAAAACACACATTATGGAGCTCTGTCCACCTCGTTTGGGACAAAGTCCCATCTTTTCTCGGAGAAAAACTCATTTCCAACTATTTGGCTTTGACTTTTTTCCATTCCAGACTGTGATTGAATTCGGATATCCCTGGGGCTTTTCCCTTTAAGTTGATTCTGGTTGATTTCTGATTCTGAAAAACGTCAGAAAGATGTGAGAGAAGCTGCTTCTGCTATCGGTCAGTCTGAGGGTTTAAGGCCAGTTACAACTACCTGGGGTCCATCTGCTAAGAGACAGATTTTCCCCAGCTGGAAAACCCTCAGGACAGCAGTCAGTTTGACCAGGAGTGGACGTCCCGTTAGGTCAGGCCGAGGGGCACCTCAGACTCCGCAGGCCTCAGTTAGCCGCTCAAAGGTCAAAGGTCACCGCGGTAATGTCAGAAAAAGGCTGAATCGTGTCAGCTTGCTTGCTTGGGCCTAAAGAGACGGGTTACTCTGGAATGCTTCGTCCTGAAAGCTGAAAAAGCTCAGAAACTCCGTCCAGAAACAGGACTGGACGTCAGACTCGTGTTCAGTTTGCACACTAGATGGCGTCGTATTCTAGAAAAATACCTCATTGCTTCTTCTTTGCTGGTATCACATAAAATTAACAATTTAAACATTTAACAGCTTTTTTTTTTTTATTCTGAGCAAAGATAAACAAATGCAAAAAACTCAGGATTCAATGAAAAATGTGAAGTTTAGGCGCCAACATAATGTTTTACTGAGTAGTAGTCCTGTGAGAGGGGTCAAAGGTCACCTGGAGGAGCCTTGGTGAGAGGACCCTGCTCACCACCATCAGGATGGGACAAAACCTCTAAAAGCTGCTCACTGTTTGTCCTATTTCTTTATTTTTCAGGTTAATTTCTACTGGCAACGATAAAGAGACGTAAAAAAAAAAGGAGGATGTTCATTTCTACTGATCTAATTCTGAGCAGTAAAGAGCTCAGACACAGTGTACACAAGGCAAGCCT